GTCAGTGTTTATTTTGGACAAGGTTTACTTGTTTAGATGTAGGTGGTTCTTGAACCAGCTCCAGACTTAGAAGCTGAAATAGCTCCCATATGTTCCAATGGCACAGTGGAGTTGACGAAAGTGTTTTCTACAGTGGAAAAGCTGTGGTTGCTCCACTCTGACCAAAAAGTTGTTTTTCTGAGCTTCTACCCCTGCCTCACAGTACAGTACAGTAGCACATTATGGATACCAAGTCTGGGGAGGATTGGCAGTCTGTCTCACCAATATGAAATACAGCATGTACTGAGTTTTTACCCAAACCATGTAATAATAGCATTGATTAGATGTGACCTGTACAGAATGAACCAAAATATGTACCAGGAGCGGAAAGCATTGGCTAATGGGCAGCAGAAAGTAAGCAGACTGCTACCATGTTGACTCACTGTTTATGAAGATTAGAAACTATTCATAACACTGTCAGTTTTTATCATCAGTTTAACACTGAATGAATGGTGCCTGTGTGTGTGGATGTGTGTGGGTGAGAGAGGAGAGAGAGAGAGAGAGAGAGAGAGAGAGAGAGAGAGAGAGAGGTAAATAAGTAGAGGGGGTCATGATAAGGTCGTCCTCACTATGCAGCCTCGTGGTTCCCAGGACAGGTCATATAGGGCACGTAGGCAGCTATGGACTGGATCTGATGCATGAACTCCTCTCCAATCCTGCCGTTGTTTGATTTAGTCATTTACCACAGCATAATACACAGTATTAGTGCTAATGAAGTCTGAAATAATAATGCTGACAGGATAAAAGTAAAAAGCACATTAAATGATCTAAAGCCAAAGTACTGTAAATCTTTCCAGACAGCTTCAGGAATGAAACATTTGCATAACAAACAAAATCCAATGAAACCAGAACTGTTAATTCTACAAATATTCTAATGGTGGCAATTGAGCTTATGAACAAACTGTGGTGGGTGGCATGGCCGTCTTCTGGTTTTCAGTTGCCATTGCCCTTAATGAGCTTTCAGACAGAATTTATATTTCTGTTTTTCTATTTATAATATCAAGGAAGCCGCAGAACAGAGTTAGACATTCCAGTTCAAACTCAGCATGAATTGCAGTCATTAATTTTTGTGGTTGTCTGCTCATAATGTCCAGCATTTTTCTCCATATTTGAGAAAGGTATGAAATGAGCCAACATTGCTATTTAATTTCATGGAAACGGCAGCCGTTGATGTATACCATTGGGGATTAATACCTGTATATGTCATAGTAATTATGAAGAGCGCTGTGAGACTGGCCAGTTAGGTTTAGGGAAACATGGCCTCTGTCTACATTAGCTAGTTGTTTCGGCTGAATAGATCCCTGCTGCTGTACTTCATGGGTTACTTCAGTGTTATGTCCCTAATTCCAGAGTTCAGCACAGGATTAAGGCATTTCACAGATATGCAGTTCATTACAGCAGCGTGTCTTAACCATGGCCCAGGCTCTTAAGGTCTGCTGATGAAAAGGGCAATCCTAGGGATAAGACTGAGCAGGGGCAGAGTGGCTCTATCTCATCTGTTATCATGGATCTAGCCATAAACCCAGATGGGCTTTAGAGGTCTAGGCTCATGATGACAGAGCCCACTTTTACATCTTACCCTGAGGGTACCATAAGCTTTGAGTGTGTCCCCTTATGGCCATAGTTTAACTTAATGAAAATCCCATGAGAAAGTGCTTAGCATAAATGGTATGTGTATCATTCTACCAACTGACCAGTGATGGACGTGCGTGTACAGAAAACAAACATATTTAGATATTTTACCTCATGCATGTCATATGCAAAGTCCCCATGGAAACAAAAAAGCATGTTGGTCATGCTTTGCATAATCTTTCCAAAGTGTGCTCCATATTTCACCCAAAGTGAACCACAATTATATGCCACTATGATTGAAGTTATTATGTAACGTCAACATTGATATGCTATTCACTTATGACAATCAGTTGGGAGTTAGCCGCATAACCACTTAACGACGTGTAGGATGACATCATACGTGCCGACCTGGGTCTCCTACTTCAGTCTGGCCAGAGACTGAGGGTTCTCATTGCCCATGTCCCCATAGATGGCAAACCTGGGACTCCAGCTAGCACTCTCATTCAGAGCAGTAAAGGAGAACACATCACTCCAGCCAGCCTCACTGCCACAGTGGTACACTGCAGTCAACACAGGAAAGAAAACACTGTTTTATCAATACTATGATGATAACCGAATGTGACAGGCCATAAACATAGCCTAAATCCATCATGCTAGTTTGGTGAACATGGAAACCTACCATAAGCAGAGGCAGATCTCAGGTCAGTGAGAGTGACCCTGTGGATATGGATCTTCCTCCCTTCTGATCCCCCGTCCACAAACAGAGTAGCGTTGCCCTTGGCGGTCAGCTCAAACAGCCGTCCCCCCCACAGGCCGTACTCCACGGTGCTCTCCTCCGTCTCATTGAAGGTGGTCCAGGTGATCTCCATAGAGCCCTGGGGTGAAAAGCCCCAGAGTTATCCAGCGAGGGGGCCTGCTGATCAGACTGCTCACCCTGCCCACCTGGATAGAGTTACTGCCCTGGATACTTACTGATCCACTTACGTAAACTGGGAGAAAACCTGCTCAAAAGGCTGATATTGTTCAATAGCTCATAAGTCTGTGCTTTTGATCTCCCTGTTGGCAGGATTTGGCCTTGGGAGTTGAACTGAGATAAGCAATGCATTTAAACAGCACCCATTCCCTATCTATAAGCATGAATCGTAAAACAACTCCCATATGCCCCTCAACTTCACATAAGAACAGACGGATGCCTGTAAGCCGGATCAAGTTACTTATCCCTATGGCACTGTGCTTATGTGTGAAATAGTGTTCAGGGTTTACATACAGATGCAAGACAAAATGCTATTGCTTACTGTTTCTGAGAAAAGCCAAGTAAAGGCACTACAACTTCATTAAGTGTGGAGTTGTTCACTCCTAATGAGTGTGCATCTCACAGCTATAAACTCTACAGGTTAAAGACTGGAAATTTCAAAAGAGATTGTCATGCTTGATCATATTCAAGATGAATGGAAACAGATCGAAGACCTACCTGGATAGGAAATGTGCACCTGCTCGGGTCCCAATGGGAGGAACACCAAGCACTAGCAGGGGTGCCAAGCTCAGCGCAACAAACACAGCACCAACAACAGACACCATCTTTGCTCTGGTGTACTCCTGCACAGTCCTGAGGGAAATGGAGAGGTGCAATTCACACAGGAGAAAGTGGACAATATACTGCTGTGTCTTCAGTCCCATGACTTTTGTTGCTCTATCATCCAATGTCACATGATGTGAATTAAAACATTTGGTTAAACTCAATGGACTCTGCTTCCTTTGAATGAAACCTAGCCTTTCAGGATCCAAATTGTTTCAATTAGGCTACAAAAAACTCTGCCAGATACAACTTGTTAGTACAGTAGTGCTAGTGTACTATACAGTAGTGCTAGTGTATTATACAGTAGTGCTAGTATATTATACAGTAGTGCTAGTGTACTATATAGTAGTGCTAGTGTATTATACAGTAGTGCTAGTGTACTATACATTAGTGATAATGTACTATACAGTAGTGCTAGTGTACTATACAGTAGTGCTAGTGTAATATATAGTAGTGCTAGTGTACTATATAGTAGTGCTAGTGTATTATACAGTAGTGCTAGAGCACTGCACACAGTCAGTCAGTCAGTGTGTCTCTGATAAGGAAATCAGAATCAGTCTACCAAACTGATGAAACAGCAGCCTGTGGAGTTGACCGTGGAGTCAGCAAATGCAGTGTGGCAAGGCATGATGAGTCAATAAAAGCAGCTGATGTTGGCTGTGATTGTTGATGTGTGCTCATTTAAAGGACAACTCATTCGATTTGAGTTAATCTGTTCTTGCATTGGCTTTCAACTGATGAGAATTGTATCACTTTATGACTGCCTCCATACAATTATACAAGCAGCCTTAACATGCTATAAAAAATTTGAACTATGACAGTCTATTATAAAATAGTATTTTAGAGTGAAGCAGTGAAAGATCCAATACACTACGAGAATAGGATGAACCTAAAAGTTACCAAAAATAGATCATTCATTCATTTTGTACTTGAAGCAGTTAAAATGTACATTTTGAATTGGAATGCAATAAGCATATTGAACACTAGGGGGTGCACAACAATAATCCAGTATTCCTATTGTACATTGAGTGCATTTATGAATCCCCAACACAGTTGCTGGTCATAGTTCAGAAAAGGAACAGGGGCTCCGGTTGGGTTCAGAAACCAAGGCGAAAAGGATAGCAAAACCAGCCTCATGAGATCAGAACATCTTAGAAGTCTATCAACACTGACAGGTATGTGATTGCAGCTATAGCAATCTAGCTAGTTAGTTCGAGGAAGTGTTAGTTATCAAACAAGCAACGTTAATTGTGCTCATCTGTAGCTATCTTTCCACATTATACTGCTGTCTCGAGCTCTCATGCTGCAAATGCTAAAACTGCAATGCTGGTTTTACTGGCTGATAGCTTTATGAGAGATATGTATCGTGACAATGGTAAACTGACATTACCTTCCTATAAATTGAAATGTGCAACATAACCAAAAGTGGCAATAAACATAGCTAGCCAAACTTGCTCTCACCTTTTCTGGCTACGTCATTATTCAAAATAACAACAATGTGCCCGCGAGGAATTGTGGGTAAAACACGTTTGCCCAGCTGCATGGTTTAGTTAGATCTGTAATTACACAGACTTTCCCTATGCAACATAGGCCTATAGAAAAGCCTGGGAATAATTTTGCCTTAATATATCTGACTTTTTTAAGTGCATGTCTATGTGGGGTGTGTATGTGGTGTGATTCAGGTTCCACTAGGCTGTCAACCCTTCAAACGGTTGTTCTTATACAGACAGCTGTACATTCTCTCTCTCTGGATATTCCCATACCATTTACAGAGCTTTGTGTGTGTGAGGAGTTTTGATGTATATTGATTGCAATGTGTACTTTGCCCTCCAGGATATTCATGATGGACTCGGAGGAGCATGATAGTGACGAGGGAGAATATCAATGCCTTGAAGAGCAGGACATGATCCAGTGCAGAGTACCCTACTCTCATGCAAAGAACACCAAGGAGGCAAGTTTCAGGAAGGAGGGGTTATGATTCTTCTCAATTGCAGTCTATTATAGTACTGTAATAACACATTATGGACATTATAGAACTGTATGTTTTGGTAATACCTTACTTGAAATTGATTTTGTATGTCTTTACCTTTTAGTTGGATTTCTGTAATAAGGAAGACCTTAATAAGAAGAGGTGTGTTTTTGCCATTTCAAAAGTACGGGTTTAAAGGGGCAATCTGCTGTTGCTACATCCATTTTTGGATGTATAAATTAATGATATGTACCCATAGATTCTTGAAGAATATAACTTATTTTTGCCTCATGAGCTTAGTTGAACTATTTTACCCCATCAGAACCAAATACAAGCTTGTTTTACTCCAATGTTTGTAAACAAAGAAAATGTAAACAAACACTATGTAGCCTCAAAACATGGTTAAAACTATAATTTTGATATCATGAAAGGTCAGTCCTTGCATCCATAGCTCTATGAATTTGAGAGTGGTTACATTTCTCCAGCCCCATCCATCATCTTTTTACCAAAACAGGGGCGGGAAACGTTGTTATTGTTCAACTGCTGATTGCCACTAATGAAATCTTCAACTGGAACAACGCTCACACCTTTTTTCATTGTTTCATATAATTTATGATTGAGTGTAGTGTTTCTGAGTATTCAGCCATATCTCTGTTTCATAGATGTCCGGCAGGTCGTTCAGGGAACAACCCTGGGAGACAGAAGCGGGTTGTGTCATGTAAGAGGAAGACGCACCATCTCACTATCAGTCGGAGGAAGCAGCCTGCCACAGTGAGGACTTATGATGTGGCCAACAAGGAGAACGAAATGGCCTGTGTGCAGGACATGGAAGAGATGTTCTACATGGACCCATGGGAGTTTCCACTCACTGCCCCCCATCATAACAAGACTGATGAGGCTGGTTCAAAAGACAGTGACTACTTCACAGAGGTGTGAAATATCAGTATTGTAGCCTTGTCTAATGTCTTTGGGGTGGGTTGGCTCATTATCTCATCATCGTGATATGCTTGTTGCCACAAATATTTGAATGTATTCCACCACCGCTCTGCTGTTTTTCAGTTGTCAAAGGACCACAACACAATGACAGATGTGCTCTTTGGAAGAAATCTGAGACTGAGTGTTGCTTTGACCCTTTGGCAAAGAAATGTTGGAGAACTGCTTACATATTTTTTAAGGTACAGTAGAAGTTGTCAAGATTGAAATATCTGACGCTTTATTGACACAAAGTTGTGATTCTATAATAGCAAAGCTCTTTTCTCCCTCAGAATCCAAGACACTGGTGTGTTTGTTGATTTTCTTCCAGTGATAACAAAAAGGTACATTCCTCATTTATTTTTCTGGGTATAAAGCAATGATTACAATTTAAGTTTTATTTTCATTTATTTTCTATCTTTCCCCGATAGCCTTGATGGTGAGTCAGCGTCACCCAGCGTTTCCATTGGCTGTTGTGTTGACCTTTTCCCCCTTGTTGAAAAGGTCCTCACTAGTCAATATGAAGAGTGAGTACCACTGTTAATGACACACTTTTCATTACAAATTCTTCAAAATCTGACTAAACTGATCCCTTGTTGTCTTGCAGGCACCTGGTAGTTGGTTTAGGATGGGTACAATCAGTATTAAGACATTGGTGGCCAGAGCTCTCAGCAAGTGGAAGAACTGACACTCAATCTATGGATGGGTATGTTTACTCAACATGCTGACTGGAAGCTATGGAGATGTGTATTCTTTGTGGAGTAGGCACCCCCCATGTGTAACTAAAACTTCTCTGTTTTTATTGATCATTGCAGAAATGTTCGAGTGTTCAAACAGCAGCTAAAGGAGTTTTGGAACCAGGAGCCTAATTTGAGTTCAGTTCCAGGAAGTGCAGGTGAAATAGCAAAGGTGGGTTCTAAGTTAAGATACATGGTAATTTGAATATATCCAAGACAAGTGCAAATAGTGTTAGTGATATTTCTGTCATCTTCGTTCTTGTTTTCCAGTTTATAGACTATTACCTGTTACAATTGCCCTGATCGCAATGGTGGCCCATGCCAAGCTCCAGTCCAGTCCTGATGACTTGTTGTTGTAAAGTTGGAAAACTCATTAGAAATTTGCTGCACCACGGGAAAACTCATAAGAACACAATGGACTTGTGACACGATGATCTGCACTACTTGACGTTTGATGTGGGGAAAAGCATTACCAGATTCATTTGAGGGCTGCTAAACAGTGCCCAAAGAGTGCCCCGCTGAAGAGTGCCAGAGAGCCACTCCAGACAATGATTGTGCCTTGTTCTTTTTGAAGCATTTTAATTACAATTTCAGATGACCAACACTTGTCCACAATTGCTAACATGACTTCACCTCACAACATTTCAATGGTACGAAATTAATCCAAAGGATGAAAGTGTGTGCTATTGATTGGTTACAGTAGAGAACCAATCGAAGTTGTGTTGGATGAATTAAAATGGTACCTGAAGCTGTTTTATTGTAAATTAATAAATTATTTTGAAACGAAAATGCCAGTAATGTTATGTGACACCTTTGTGTTCAGCCAGGCAGTGGTGTTTCAGAGTGGGATGGTTGGCTGTTGGTTGATGGAGTCGGAGAGAAAGGGTAGAGAGAGGGAGCACTGTGTAGTGAGAGAGAAGAGGTGAGTCCCAGTGGGAGCGTGTGTTGGCCAGTGTTGACAGCTCCAGAGTGACTGCCAGTCGGACAGCACTACAGCACAACTAGTTATTAGCAACCGCCACTGCCCCGAAGAAGTTCTCATTTCTTTTTGGTTAGGCTATACTGAAATACTCCAAGCCCTAGTTAGAGCCCATAACTATGGCCCAGAGTATAACTACGTTTTTATTTGTCAGGTCATGGTTAGGAAAGATTCCTGGCCCTATTCATAAGGTACATGTATGTGTTGTCTTAGTGTAGAGGTCCTCCAAAATAATGAAGAAATGTGTTTCAAATCACTGTATATTTAATTATCATGAAAATACGTTGTTAGACCTTATCATTATGGTGCTTTGTTTATGACTTTATATTTGTAGATAATCTATCACTGTAGTTTTTTTAAAATCCCACTTGATAAGTGAAGGCTGGCTTTAACCCTTGGTGTTTCCTATTGTGACATGAAGGAAGGTTAGGCTGAAGTCCAGTAGAGGCTGTGTGAAAGGGTCTGCACCTCCGTGGACTCTGGGTCTATGGTTGGCAGCCTGATTAGCCTTGTTTGCTCTCTCTCTCTGCCCTTCTCTCTCCGTTTAGTGCTATCAAAGTACAGTGTACTGTATGTTTGACAGCTTATAGTTACAGAGCTCAGCACACAAGCAGTGGTGCAGTAAAAGTTAAGGTAAGTGTGTTCATTCTTTACAACATTTCAGTAAGTTGCATTGTTACTAAAGTTGGATTTCTAGTCATTGTATGCAGTGGACTGTTGTGCTATGAACTATGACAGGAGTAGAATTACAGATTTTTGTCCATGTACATATTACCATTTGCAATTATCTCTTGAATGGGTGTAGCAGAATTGTTAGAGAAATTATGCATTGCCACTCTGTATGTATGGTCAATTATATCCAAATGTCTGTTCACCTTGAAGGAACATCCAGTTAGAAGATGCAGAGTTTTGGGACATGGCCAGTGGCAGTAGCAGCAGCACTGGTGATCAGTCTGATGGGAGTGCACACTAAACACCTGGTTGCTGAAAACACCCATCTCCTGACCTCTGAAGAGCACAAGATGGTCCTCAACCAGGGAATGAAAGGTATGGACATTAATGTAATGTCATTACTAACATAATGTAAAGGTTGATTCTACAGTGAAACGTGTGGCTGTATCTCTAGCAGACTTGGGTTCAAATATGTGTATTTGATTATTTGTTATTTAAATACTTATTTCTGTGTATTTGAATATTTTCAAATAATGTGGCCTGAATCAACTACTTCTATTGGAAGTATTTGAAAGTACTTTCAAATAATTTCCTATAAAAAGCCTAATATTTGAAAATATTTTCAAGTACTTATTTCCAAATACATTATTTCAAATACCAAACAGACCTGGGTTCAAATGCATGGGAGTATTTATTTATATTTGAAAATACAATGTGTATTTAAAGAACTTATGAAAGAGGTTGGTGTGTTATTTCACCATCTAATCATGCCATGGGGTTGTTCAATGACAGACATGTATTTGTTTGAAATCAATCATTTGATGGTTTCATTTCAGAGAGACAAATAATCATATATCCGTGGCTTTAAGTAGTAGCGCTCGGTGTTGCACAGTCAAATGTGACAAAAAAACTACATAAAGAAATGTGCAAATGATACATTTGTGATATCAACATAAAAAAATATATATATATAATAATTATCAATACAGTAATATGAGATCTGTATGTAAAATATTTACATTTGACATTTTAGTCATTTAGCAGAAGCTCTTATCCAGATGGACTTACAGTAAGTGCATTCATCTTAAGATAGCTAGGTGAGACAACCACATATAACAGTCAAATATACAGGATACGAACATTCCATTCCAAATAAACAATGGATATACAGTGAGGGAAAAAAGTATTTGATCCCCTGCTGATTTTGTACGTTTGCCCACTGACAAAGACATGATCAGTCTGTAATTTTAATGGTAGGTTTATTTGAACAGTGAGAGACAGAATAACAACAACAAAATCCAGAAAAACACATGTCAAAAATGTTATGAATTGATTTGCATTTTAATGAGGGAAATAAGTATTTGACCCCTCTGCAAAACATGACTTAGTACTTGGTGGCAAAACCCTTGTTGGCAATCACAGAGGTCAGACGTTTCTTGTAGTTGGCCATCAGGAGGGATTTTGTCCCACTCCTCTTTGCAGATCTTCTCCAAGTCATTACGTTTGGCAACTCGAACTTTCAGCTCCCTCCACAGATTTTCTATGGGATTAAGGTCAGGAGACTTGCTAGGCCACTCCAGGACCTTAATGTGCTTCTTCTTGAGCCACTCCTTTGTTGCCTTGGCCGTGTGTTTTGGGTCATTGTCATGCTGGAATACCCATCCACGACCCATTTTCAATGCCCTGGCTGAGGGAAGGAGGTTCTCACCCAAGATTTGACGGTACATGGCCCCGTCCATCGTCCCTTTGATGCAGTGAAGTTGTCCTGTCCCCTTAGCAGAAAAACACCCCCAAAGCATAATGTTTCCACCTCCATGTTTGACGGTGGGGATGGTGTTCTTGGGGTCATAGGCAGCATTCCTCCTCCTCCAAACACGATTTTGGTCTCATCTGACCACAACACTTTCACCCAGTTCTCCTCTGAATCATTCAGATGTACATTGGCAAACTTCAGACGGCCCTGTATATGTGCTTTCTTGAGCAGGGGGACCTTGCGGGCACTGCAGGATTTCAGTCCTTCACGGCGTAGTGTGTTACCAATTATTTTCTTGGTGACTATGGTCCCAGCTGCCTTGAGATCATTGACAAGATCCTCCCGTGTAGTTCTGGGCTGATTCCTCAACGTTCTCATGATCATTGCAACTCCACGAAGTGAGATCTTGCATGGAGCCCCAGGCCGAAGGAGATTGACAGTTATTTTGTGTTTCTTCTATTTGCGAATAATCGCACCAACTGTTGTCACCTTCTCACCAAGCTGCTTGGTGATTGTCTTGTAGCCCATTCCAGCCTTGTGTAGGTCTACAATCTTGTCCCTGACATCCTTGGAGAGCTCTTTGGTCTTGGCCATGGTGGAGAGTTTGGAATCTGATTGATTGATTGCTTCTGTGGACAGGTGTATTTTATACAGGTAACAAACTGAGATTAGGAGCACTCCCTTTAAGAGTGTGCTCCTAATCTCAGCTCGTTACCTGTATAAAAGACACCTGGGAGCCAGAAATCTTTCTTATTGATAGGGGGTCAAATACTTATTTCCCTCATTAAAATGCAAATCAATTTATAACATTTTTGCCATGCGTTTTTCTTGATTTTTTTGTTGTTATTCTGTCTCTTACTGTTCAAATAAACCTACCATTAAAATGATAGACTGATCATTTCTTTGTCAGTGGGCAAACGTACAAAATCAGCAGGGGATCAAATACTTTTTTCCCTCACTGTACAGTCACTAGTGAAAGTCTACACACTCCTTGCACATTCTTCACATTTTGCTGCCTTAAAACTCAACCTAAAGGTGATTAAATTCAATGTTTTCCCTATCGATCTACACAACCTACTCCACATTTTCAAAGTGAAAGAAAAATTATTGAAAATGTTCCTTGGTGGAAGTACCTTTGGCAGCCATTACAGCTGTGAATCATTTTGAATACGATTCTACAAACCTTACACAACTCTTGGGGCTACATATAGCCATTGTTTTGTGAAATTGCTCAAGCTCATTACATTTGGTTGGGAATCATTGATGGACAGCAATATTAAAACCGTGTCTCTGTTTTTTAAGCAGATATAATCAGGACAGAGAATGGACCATTCAGGAACAATCAACACCTCCTGGAAAGCCATTCTGGTGTGTCGTTGGCATTAAAATAGGTGTAAATACAAAGGGATCAACAGCATTGCATTCACTCCACATTACAGGCCTGTATGTTAAAGTGAAAAGAAGGAAGCCTGTGTTAAAAAATCCACCTCAAATCAAACATTCTGTTTGAAACAAGGCCGTTAAGTAAAACTGCAAGACAACATGGCCAGACATTAACTTTTTGGCCTAAATTAAAAACGACATGTTTGGGTCACATCGAATACAACACAACACAGAGTGAAACCCTCTGTATTTTCAAGTATTGTAGTGGCAGCATCATGTTATGGGTATGCTTGTCATCGGCAGGGACTGGGGAGTTTGTCCGGGTCAAAATAAATATGAAAGGAGCAAAGCCCAGGTAAAAAGATAAAGGAAAACCCGCCTCAGTCTTCTGAAAACCATGGGATAGAATTTTATTTTCAGCGAGACAATGACACAAATGTTTATGCCAAAGACATACCAGAATGGGTTTCCAAGAGGTGTTTAGTGCGTTCCTAAGTGCTCTAGTCTTGATTTAAAATTGCTTGAAATTCAGAGACAAGGTTTTAATATTGCTGTCCATCAATGATTCCCAAACAAATTTAATGAGCTTGAGGTATTCTGACAAAAACAATGTGCATATGTTGCCCTGAGAGTTGTGCAAAATTGGTAGAATATTATTCAAAATTATTCACAGCTGTAATGGCTTCCAAAAGTTCTTCCATCAAGTATTAACTCTGGGGTGTGATGACTTACGCAATCAAGACATCTTTGCTCTTTTATTTTTTATTAATTTAGGCAGTTTTCTCTAACTTTCTTTCACTTTGAATATGTGGAGTAGGTTTTGTAGATCTGTAGGGGAAAAGAATGCCATCCTTTAATTGTCCATCCTTTAATCCTTTTTTCGATTTACTTTAAGGCAGCAAAATGTGAAGACTGTGCAAGGGGTGTATAGACTTTCACTAGGCACTGTATAGCATTTTGCAACAAAACCCATTTTAATACACATCTAAAATCTATGAATAA